GACTGGCTCCACCAGCTGTGTGTGCACACTGCCTATTACCATTTAAAGACATAACGCAGGAATATATGTCCGGCTAACCACACAGAATGTTTAAACGCGTTGTTCGGTATTAATCAATATGGTGCCTCATTAAGCTCGGGTTAAATATTAATCAAATACGTGGGCGTGGTCACTGTTTAATATATCAATGCTGACTGTCCTACCCCTAGTCGAGTGTTGCAGCTGAGGTGAGGCCTGCTGAGCCCCCCGTTGTCGGTTGCAAAAACGCTAAAAGGCAACTAGCATTAGCAAAAGTTACGCAAGAGTTGAGGCGGAGCAGCCCCGGAGGACGTCCCGACAATATTCTCTTCCAAATAACAAATATATCCCCAGTTTCACCCAAAATCCAACTGATAAAGTTGTTTTTTGATAATAATTACTAACAGATGAGGCAGGCAGTATTCGATAATATTAACAGTGAGCACAGTATTGATAATAATAACAGTGAGCACACAGCTGTAGCAGCAGTGGGTTATCGCTCCATCAGTTCTGATGCTTCATGCAGCACGTAGGCTCACTTTAAAGCTGCAGAGGAAACCAACATTTATCTTTAATGAGGTCCATTATCTGTCCATCTGTGTGTGTGTCTGTCTGTCTGTCTGTCTCTTTGTAAGTGTGTGTGGTCACGTAGCCTCTGTGTTTATTTCTGTTTCAGATTTTTATCTGAATGTTTGTTATTGTAGAAACACTGAAACTGATCTGTCCTCCTGTCTTTTTACTGTCCTCTACTGCGTCTCTTTACTGTCCTCCACTTTGTCTCATTACTGTCCTCTGCTGCGTCTCTTTACTGTTTATACTGCGTCTCTTTACTGTCCTCTACTGTGTCTCATTACTGTCCTCTACTGCGTCTCTTTACTGTCCTCTGCTGCGTCTTTTTACTGTCCTCTACTGTGTTGGGAACAGAGTTTTGTCTCACCTTGTCAGCAGTGTCTCCCAGTGTCCTGACGGCGGTCTGCAGCTGCTCTCTGACCTTCATCATGCGATGGTAGAGCTGCAGGCTGAGGTTCAGCAGGAGGCTGCGGACCCTCGTCCACAGACTGGGCTCATCGTCTTCATCTTCATCCTCGTACTCCTGGACCCTCGTCTCCCACTCCCGACCTGATACACAACGAGAGGGCCTTCATTTTCTAAAACCTCCTTCTTCACCTTCCTCCTGGAAATGTGCTCTGAGACTTCAGCCCCGACAGCTCTGTACTCCAGGTGCTGCACTCTGATCATTTCTTCATTGTGATCAGAGACGTGTGAATATTTGAACCACAGTTCAGTCTCACGATGACATTTGAATATTGTTTCTGCAGAAAAAACATTTGACCGCAGCTACCCAGAATGCCCCTGTACTCACGCAGCGTGGGTGGGAGGGGCAGGTAGTAGGCGGTGGCGTCCTCCAGGCGACTCAGCACGTCGTCCAGTCCCGACGTGGCGACCCGGCCCACCTGAGTGTCCTGCAGCAGCTGAACGGCCGCCCGGGCGGCGTCGGACAGGCGCTCCAGCTGATCCAGAGCCCCGTCCAAACCGTCCACCACCCACAGCTGCACGTCGTCCAGGGTCAGGAAGAAGGCGTCCTTCAGGTGACCCACCACCTGAGGACGAGGAGACAGCACGCGGTTAGTCTAGAGTCAGTGATCAGCCTATCGACAGAGTACACGCTGTTAGCCACCGAGCTAACAACTGAACACGTGAGAAACAAGCTGTATGATTCATTTATTTCAGACCATCTGTAAACAATACACACAATCCATACAACAACAACAACAACAGTCAGTGTCAATGTATAGTGACCTCTTCTGGACAGATTTATACGTTATTATTGATCCAGAGAACAGATTTATACATTGTTATTGATCCAGAGAACAGATTTATACATGTTTGTAATAATAAAAGAGATGAAGAGGCGGAGACAAACCTCGTCTGTCGATTGGTTCAGGATGGGAAAGTTTTTCTCCAGACGGTCGAGACCAACGAGAGCAAAACTGTTGGCTACTTCAACTGGACAGACAGACAGACAGACAGACAGACAGACTAGTATTAGCAGTGACATTATTAGCATTATTAGCAGTATTAGCGGTATTAGCTCTACGCACTCTGCGGCTCCAGACTCTGGAGGAGGGGCGTGGCTCTTGTCATGGCGACATGGGAGACGCTGCGGACGCCGACCTCAGCCACTCCTCCCATCAGACCCAGCAGAGGGTGCCGACCTTTGACCTCGGAGTACGCCAATGTCACCGACTGTAACGCCGAGCGGACCAGAGGAAGGCGGGAAACTCTCAGCACGGCACTGGTCTGAAAAACAAACACTTTTCTTCTTCTCTCACCTTTTGAATGTAGACTGTTCTTTTATAAACAAGTGTGTGACTTCCTGTCTGAGGCTCTCAGCTCATTGGTTCCTACTGACACCGTCTCACACGGAGCCCCACAGGGTTCTTACGGCGGATCAAACTCACCTCATGATCAGACATTTCTCCTTCACTGAATCTGAGGACAGACAAACAGAGGACAGACAGACAGTCATGAGGCAGTCAGCTGCTGAAGCTCCACAAAGATCTCCACTGTTCAGCTGCAACCAGCATGAAAATCAGCTTCTGCTGCGTCTGCTAACTGACCTCCGCACAGACCTCCGCACAGAGCGCTCATTCTCTGAGAGCAGCGTGAACGCCAGTGACTCATTTCATCTGCTCTGTCCACACCTCCATCACGGACTGGAGGGAGGAATATTCCAACTGAAGTCGTACTGATGTGTGTTACTGTTCTGAGTGGAGACGAAGGCCCGATCAATACTATAGAACCAGCTGCTGGTTCCAGTTTTATATTGAAATACATCACAAACAGCTTCATTCTGAGCAGGTTCAAAGAGTTAGACATGAGACTTTATTCAGTGTAAAGTACTCAGCTCCGTCTCTCAGATGCAACAATTACAGCAATCATAAAATAATAATAATAATAATTTAATGTATAGATCAGGTATCAGTACTGGTGATCAGAAATATGCTGAATATCAGATACAATAATCGGTTTATCCCTAATAATAACCTGCTTTAATATTGATTAAAATAAACGAGTTGTTCCTGATCAATACTCACTGAGCTGATACATTCAAATGTATAATTATTATTATCAATAATAACACATCATCATTTATGAATTGATTTATATTAATATGACAGTAAATGTAGTACAGTGGAAGTACAAAGTTGGAAATAGATTATTGATCATTGATTGGTGGATCTGGTCGGTCTGAGCTGTTATTGATCTGCAGGACGGGAGGAGACAGCTCAGCTCCTCACTGATCATACTAATCAATGACTGATCAATACAGAAATACAATTAGGACTCATAACTTCTGATCAATCACAGACTTTTCTGCTGGTTCCTTGTGACCTCTGCGGGGGCCCCGACCACACGTTGGGCTCCAGTTTCACTGCTGAGGGTCGAGTTTATTTAAACTTCAGTGATTCAGATTCCAAAATAACGTCTCATATTGGATGTAAGACATCAGGACACATCCTCACCCTCTCAGATCAATACTCAGCAGATGTCCAACAGACTGATTGATTGATTGATTGATTGATTGATTGATTGATTGATTGATTATATTGACGATTGAAGCCACACCTAAAACTGTCTGTTGATATTCAGCTTCAACTATCAGGACAAATTAATCACTTTTATTGATATTTAAGAATCTTATTGAAAAGATTATAATTGAACAGATTATTATTTTCTAGGTTCATTTTCACTTTTTTGTCTTATGTTTTTTAAAACCAAATAAAAATGATGCAACAGATTTTGTAATAATAATAATAATAATAATAATGTGTGTCTCTTTTTGGTTACATTAAGTTCTGTTCTGCAGTAATTGATGCATTTTTATTGATCTTTAAATGATCAGAAAACAGTTACACGTCTCGCTTTGTCCGACCAACCAAAACCCAGCATTCTGAACAGCAGCAATCAATCAATCAATCAATCAATGATGAAAACAATACTGGTCAATATTCAGTCAGATAACGAGAATAAGCAGCTCTTACCCCATCAGAGAGTGTGGATGAAGCAGCTCAGTTGAGTGGCGATGACGATGATGAAGGCTGCTAACGTTGTGACCTCCTCATAAAGAGTCGCACACACAGTTTTTGTGGTTGAACTCTGCAAGCTGATTGGACGGAGCGTGCGTGACATCACTGCTGGTGATTCTAATTTGAACTGGATTTGTTTCTCTAAGGGGAACCAATCGATTATCAGAGAATCAATGAGGTCATTTAGGAGGGAAACACACACACACACAATCTCTATAGGTCAAATCATTCGTTTCTAATCCTGATCGATTGATTTTACTTCTTTAAATTACTATAAAACAGGAACAAAGAAGAACAACTGTACAATCACAGATTTTATTTAAATAGTTTTAAAGGGACCCCCAGACCATGACCCCCCAACTACAACCGCCGCCATCCAGAGACCCCAGGAAAACCCTCAGAGACAGAATGACGTTATTCATACAGACGTCAGGAATGAACTCGCCATCGGGCAAACCAATGACGCTTCTGATACGTGTCCACAGGGGTCCGCCACTTCCCGGTATTGGACGTCTTTAAAAAAAAGATAAAAATAAAGAGCTTTTTTGTGTCATATTAGTTCCAGTCACACTGTTTATAATGACAGTGTGTTAAAGCTGCATTCTGTGTGACGGCCAGCAGGGGGCGCTCCACTGGCTGCAATATAAACTGATCCCATTCACTCTAA